GAGAGAGAGAGAGAGAGAGAGAGAGAGAGAGAGAGAGAGCAGGTAAGTCTCGAACCTCGCGGCTGGCCTCCTGGTACTTCCATCGATAGGATGAGCAAAATCGAATGAGTCTACCGCTAGAACATGGAAATATACACTGCGCAGACGTGCGCAGTGCACCGCGCAGCCCGCACTGCGCACCCAGATGCGTGGCGCGCATCAGTGCGCGTGCCCCTCGGGTCCACGCACAGCGCGCTGCGCAGCGCACAGTGCCGGTGCGCCGCGAGTATGGTAAAATACTAAATTATCCTTCTTCCCATCTTTCCCTCAGAAATTATAGCCAGTAATCCACTTTTGTACACATGAGCTTGATATCCATAGATTTGTTCAAGCAGAGCAAATACTAACCAAACAACACAACCAGCCCTGGCATGGGGATATTGCTCCGGCCAGGGGTAAGCGGAAGAGTCCAGTGGGCATGGACAGGAGAGTTGAGGCACGTTCTCTCAGACAACAAGATAAAGGGCCACCCTTAGAGAGGACTGAATGCCGCTGAATTCGTCTTCTGAAGTCTAGACAAGCAGCGTCAGAAAAACGGGGTTATTACTCAGATAGACTGATATATGGGTGTAACTGTGTAACACCATTTACGTTGATGGCACCCATCCGACACCAATTGCTGAGATCATGGCATTCTACATCACAATTTTTACGGAGTGAAACCACAACTGCACTTTCTTTTTGAAATCAAAAAGGGGATAGCCCCCCTAACCTCATTGTATCAGTCTGACATCATCAGGATTTGAACTCAGACAGATAGAGTCCAATTTGATTGAATTGATGATTCACTCACTGAACTGGTGCGCTTTTTTCCGATTTATTCGATTTGAAATATGACGTGTTTTTTTCTTTTTTTGCCTTGTTGCTCGAGTATAATTTCATTTCGATATCCAAGACCTTTCCCTTGATAAACTTCACGGAAGGTACGAAGTACGAAGTCCTTCTTCGCTTAGATTTCTAAGCGAATGCCATACATTGGGACAAGTAGGTTATCAGCAGGAAACCACAAAAAGTACGGTCGCTCAACCTAGCCAGCGACCGCCGAGCTGTTTGGGAGACTCAGAGACTTTACACGAGAATTCTCTCAATCAAACAAAAGAGCGCTCTTGCGCCTTCGGCCTTCCATACTTAGCGGTCAATTTGGTTATTATTTGGAAGTCTTTATAAGTTTAATTTAATTTAAATTCGTCTGTTTATTAAATTATTACCAGTTATATGCGAGTATCATTCAGCTGCATGTGCTGGGTACAACTAGAGGTTCCGTAATCAATCACTAGAATGCCTGTTGCAGCTATAGGAAAAGACCAAAAAAAAAGACGTACTCTCTCTCTCTCTCTCTCTCTCTCTCTCTCTCTCTCTCTCTCTCTCTCTCTCTCTCTCTCTCTCTCTCTCTCTCTCTCTCT